TTAACCACCGCGCCACCAGGGCGCCTCTGTTTTACACGAGGTGGTAAGAGGACATTTTGTTTTTGTAGATAGTAAGGAAGCCCAGAAGGGAGCTGTGTGGCGGGGACCAATCACAGCTTTAAAATCTCCACAAGGGAAAGGGGTCGGGCCATATCTGATTGGACGAGGACTGGGCCCGAGGCCTGAAGCTGTGTATACGGAAGCTTAGGAGGTAAGCTGCTGTGGAGTGGTTTCAGAGAACGTGATAAGGACATGGACGGCTAAAACATTCCCAAACTGCCTCCTAATCCGGTGAAGACCGGGCCCAAGTGCAATTAACCGGTTACCACCCTTTATACAAATCACATGCAGAAAACGAGCCCTGGCTGCACTTCCTCTTCTTAGAACGGCTTTCAGAACAAATTTAAACTATGTATTTTTACTGTTTTGTTCGTTGCTGTTGAGTCAGTGCCGACTCACAGCAACCCCATGCGTGCAGAGAACGGTGCCTGTGGGTTTTTAGGGCTGGGACCTTTCCGAAGCAATGGCCAGGCCCTTCTTGCGAGGCTGCTCTGGGTGGGTTTGAACTGCCAACTTAGCGGTGAGTGCTTAACCATAAATGGCTGACGTAGGAACGTGGACAACACCCTGGCTTTCTCCGCCCTGCAGGTCTGTCTTTAAAGTCCCTCTCTCTTAACACCTAGAACTATTGTCTTCCTAGGAATACATCAGGGCCAGGAGGACAGAGAATGACCATTTCTACCTCATGGCAGAAGGGAAGCCTGTCTAGCATCAGTTAGGGGTCAGGGGGCTGGTGTTCCACAGACCACCCTCCTTGGTGCAGGCAAGATTCCAACAGAGGCTTGGGATTCCAACAATTTAAGGTCCTCTAAGCCTGTTCGACTCCATGGCAAATATTTAAAAAATGGCAGCCCATGAAGGGACTCAGTGACTGTAATAGGGATAGGGACATTCCAGAACCAGCAGTCAGAGCTGGGGAGTTTTTCTGGTTTCCTATACTGTACACGAGCAGGTCTACAGCAGCTTGGTGGCATCCCACTGAGCCGTGTGGTCCTTGGTAAGGGATACTTTCATGGACATCCTGGCATGCTTGCATTCCCTCTTCATGTCTGCTCTCATGCCATAAAACTGCACAATCAGCTCAGTGAGCTTCTGAGTATTATACCTGCAGTGGCGACACAGAATGAACAGAGAGGTCAGGTGCTACAGCATCGCAGAACACACACAGCATCCCAAGATCACTGCAGCTTCTCGGTTAGGCTCTGCCACTGACAGCTGTCTCAGGCTGTGCACCCCCCAGATCCCTCTTTGCACAGTTATTTCCCACTTGATTATCGACTTTTCCCTCCCACAAACACAGACTTTCCATTCATTCTCTGGAAGACATGTTTTCAAGCATTACCCCAAACGATCAATGGTGTTATCAACACAGAATAATCTTCCTCAAAGGTGGACTGCGTGATTTAAACAAACAAAAGAACCCCCGTGTGATTTAAACAAACTAAAGAACTTAACATAGAGCCAAGCCACCAACCTTGTTAGCACTCGGTTTCTCCTGTCGTCCAGGTCGGCTGCATTCCTCAACTGAACAAAGCTAAAATGGTCCTACAGTGAAATTTATAAACAAAACCCCGCAACCCAATTAGTAAAGATGCAATCTCTGAAACAGAAAATAAAATGATTTTAAACACTCAAAGCCAAGCACGGCATGCTTTTCGCTAAATTCCAAACTGCTAAACAACAGATGTTACCCCAACGCCTTCTCTGAGCACCCCACTGGTGAACCAGGACGCCCCATCCCCTGGGACCCAGATCAGCATCATGTGGACCATGGTGTCTGGGCTGAACACGTGGTATGTGTAGGACGGACCCTCTGCTTCCTGTCGCACCTGTCTTTGAACATGACCTTTCTGGGTGTGGGGAGTCTTGGATGCATTTTTATAACAAGGAGGCCTTCTGGCTTTGAAATCATCACTTTATTTATATCCCTTATCGCCCAAACTCGATATCCGACTGGACCGTGCTTAACAAGGTTTCAGTTTGCGTGTCTGTCTTCTATCCAAAAGTATAGCTGTTGCCCGTCAGTAATTTCAAAGCTCTGGGCTGGGGAGGAGGAAGGATGGAAATGAACCGATTAGCAGGGGCCGCAGGGAAGAACAAAGTCACATACTAACCGATTCCAAAGACCTATTAGTATGTCGTCGAATGTAAATGCTGGAGTCACTGTGACTAGCCCTGAAAAACAAACAAACATTTTGAATGGGTACCACCAAGAGCTCTCCATGTCCCACGTGGTGCTGTTTTACAGCCCCGCCCATGCCCAGTCCTGCACCCGGGGATTGAGGCAGGCTATGATTTCAGTTCCAGGGGCAGAAATGAGACCATTTCTCCAGTCTGCCCACTTTGGTTGGAAGGTGCTGACAAACAGTAGAAAGGGCATTAGAGTCACACGCTGAGCCCTAGTCTACCAGCAAAAGCAGGAATGAAGTCAGAATTTCACATGCAAAGCAGACCCGGTGTTCTAAAAACAACACAGGATTTGGGGCAGGAAGGGAGCGCTTGCGCCAAGCATCCTGAGGTCTTGGCACTCACCGGAAGTCCTCCGCAAGCTAAAGTCAGACCTGGACCTACACCTGGCAGCTGGACTCCCTCTCCAGTGCTCACTCCCAAGCCCAGGGCTGCTCTCTGTGGGCACACCAGCTCTGTTTCTTTCAAACCTGAGAAGGCTAACCTTCTGACCCCATTTTTGAGGCTGACGTGGCATGTGCCCCTGTCACTCTAACAGATGGCTTGACCAGGTGCGGAGGCGAGAGACGGCCAGAGGCCTGGCTGCCAGCCTGGCACCCTTTGATGAGCCGCCATGTTGGCCAAGTCCTGCATCTCGGACCAGTCTCCCATGTGTGAGAAGGTACCTCAGGCCGGCCCCACCCTGTCCCCTGCATGGAGGTGGTGGGGATGGTGGGACAGCAACAGAGTGTCGATGACAGTGTCTGGTCCTGTTTGCTGTTCAACAGGAGAACTACGGGGTCCTGCGCGTGGAGGTGCCCTGGTACAAGGAGAGTCATGCCCTCAAGGCAAGCCGCCCCACTGTCACCCTGGGCCTGGTAAAGTCATCAGACCCAGAGTCTATCCCTAGGGAATTTGTCATTGGCAGCTTTGGCTCTCCTTTCCACTGCTGTTCAGTAAACGTCACCAAGCTCTTCCCTGGCACTTTCTACAGTTACTGAGCACCACCTACTATGTGCCAGGCCCTGGGCTAGGCCTAGGGAAACGTCAGCCCTTGTCCTCAATCCACAGCCAGAGCTCATGCTTCCTGGCTGCAACCCAGTTCCTGGAACCCTGGGGTGTCCCTAAGAGAAATGACCCAACACACTGGCACCAGGAGATCTGGGGCCGACTTTTCCCTACTTGTGTTTGCAGACCTCATTCATTCACTCATTTCAGTGAAAATATATATAAGACATACCATTGCAACAATTTCTACATGCTTGTTTCAGTGACAGTCTTCAAACTGTGTCACTTTTCTGGTTGCCACTGTCATTTTGATCACATAGAGATAATTCTTTAACCCTTTCATGACCAAATTATCTTCTGCTTTGGATTTTTTATTGATACCATGTGTTTTCACTAATGGGAGGCATGCCGAAATCAAGGGGAAATTTTTTTTTTTTAGGTAACAATGGATTTTGATACAATTATGTGGGACACATATGTCCCAAGTGGACTCTGATGGTAGGATTGGTAGGGTGAGGTCCATTTCTTCTGATTTGTACAGTTGTATAGGGCCCCACCAGGTGGTAGAACATACTACAAAGGGGATAGGAGCGTCCCAAGAAAACTGAGAGGCTGAAAATGTTAGTGGGTGATATATGTCCCATGGGTCATGAAATGGTTAAAAGTATAATGCTCAACATACTCATTTTTTCTAACAAGGCTAATTTCTTTGGGTAACTGAATCAGGGGGTGACTATGCTTCCTCAGTCTGTTGCCAGCTCTGTGTGGGTGGGAGCCAAGCCCCTAGCACCTACCCCAGTTCCTGCTATCCCCTTCCCTCACATAGCTGAGCACACTACATGCTATCTGAGGACGTTCACTGTGGTGCTTTGACCTTGGCTAAAATGCTTCATACTACAGCTTTGCCACAGCATGTCTGAGCTGAGATGGGAAGAAGGAAGGAGCTAGAAAGGTAACTTCTGCCTGGTCCATGCCAAGAGCTCAAGAGTAAGTGACACCATTGTGCTTTTCAGTTGGTGCCCCCTCTGTCTCCTCTGTACTGGGACAAGGTTTGCTTTTGCTTTGTGCTCAGCACGTATTTGTATCCAAGGTGCTCACTCTCCTCCAATGCACCTCTCATTCCTGCGTCCCACTCTTTCCATTTACTGAGTTGCCTGCTAAGTGCCAGCCGTGTGTGTGTTCACACTGCTCCCTTCACCTGGAATGCACCCCACTCCAGCACTCTCAAATCCACGTCCCACTGACGCCCCCACACTCCGCTCAAACACATCTCAGCCCCAGGCCTCCCTGGTCCCCTCTGCCTGCTTCTGAGGTCCAAGATCCCCACTGTCCATGAGACCCCCCTCTGCATCCCTCCTTGTGCTGATAGACCAGATGGCACACGTCCCATCTCCCTCCAGTCTATGAGCTCCTGGGAGAGAGTTGTGCCTGAACCTGCCCCATGGCCTACCACTTCCTTCCTGCCTGAAACCTAGCTGATTCCATCATACAGTGGCTGCTCCAAGAATATCTGACACTGATCTGCTTGGGAGACAAGCTAAGTAGTGCCCAGCAAATGATAGACAGTCCCTCTGTGAGCGGTGGAGGAGGAGTTGGTAGCCCAGCCCACCTGCCCACAGGTGTCCATCTGTGTTTACAGCAGGCAGGAAAGTACATTTAAAGCACAGAGTTCATTTGACTGTCATGTCCCCAGGGCACAGGAAGGGACTGTGGGAATTGTGAGCTGAGTTAGGTTGGCAGCCCTATCTGCTGTGCCACTCTATTGCCTGTCCCTGTCTGGCGCCTGCCCCTGTCCAGCACTTGCCCGTCTGCCACCTGCCCTTGTCCGTCACCTGACCCTCTCCATCACCTGCCCCTGCCTGTCAACTGACCCTCTCCATCACCGGTCCCTCTCCACCACCTGCCCCTTTCTGTCACCTGGCCCTCTCTGTCACCTGCCCCCTCCACCCTCAACTTCTCTGCCTTTGTTTCCCCACAGCCTAGACGTGGGAGAAAGGCGGAGGGGAGGCCGACAGCAGGCTGTTCCACCACTACCCACCCCTCTGGCTCTGCCTGGGCATCTCCTGCCCCATGCACGTCTCAACCATTTTCCTTTACAGCCAGCATCACTCACACCACTGCTGGCAATGAGGCTTCACAGAAAAAATACAGACCTCGGGGTGAGACTGGTCTGAGTCTACTCCCAAAGGGAGAAAGTCTGGGGGTTTTATGTGCCCCCTGGGCTTCCCTGTCTGCATTAATGAGCATGACCCCACTACCTGCCTAGGGGGCTGACCGCTGCATGAGGAGGATGTGGCTGTGATGAGCCTCCACACAGGACGGACTCAGTAACCTGGGTGACCATCCCGATGATGAGGGTGGGAGGGAAAGACCAGGAGGGCCTTCTGACATTCGAGTCCAACGTCTCCCCTGAGACAGACCTGACTCCTCCAGCGGCCTTGGAATGAGGAGCAGAGGTGCGCAACAAGCTCTTGTGGACCAGGCCAAGCTCACGGTCCTCCCTGCCCCCGCCCCACATAATAAATCAACCACTGTCACTTCCTTGAACAAACTTGTAAGGGAAGCCCTATGAATGTCCAACACCCACACAGCAGGGATGAAAGGCCACCTCAAGGGATAGGGGTTAAGTCAGCATGATGCTATTGATGGCCATGTGTGGGTGGCCCTTACCCAGCCCAACCCACAGTGACCTGGGGGCAGGGGCCAGTAGGCGGTCACCCCTCCATTACTCTTCTCACCTCACATCTACCTACGGCTCAGCCGTTTTGCACACACTGCTAGCTTCCACCCAGAGCTACACAGAGCGAGGAGAAAAGGCTAGTGACACATCCTTCCAATTTAGCTCCTTATGCACAGGTCTGGTAAGAGTTGAGGGGGTTGGTGCTGGATTTGCCACGAGCGCAGGAAATCCCTCGTCTAATCCCATCCCTGTGCCCCTCCATGAATCAGCAACTGGAAATGGGGTGAGTTCAGAGAGCTCCCTCCAGCTCCACGTCTAGTGGCAGGAAGATAGCGAGCCAATAAATACCTAGAAGGGATTCTGTGATCAGCAGTGTCTTCTTCTAGGTCCTCTGAGGATCGGACGGCTCCCGGCGCTACAAATATCGAACTTTCGACACGGTCCACGTGTTTCCTTTTCTCCTTTTTTTTACTGCTGACCGATTCTTCCGTTACCTTTGCTTCTACGGGGCTGGCTGAGTTTTCTGAGTTCGGGGACTCCTGGGACTTAAAGACAAAACAACCAAAGAAAAATCAGCATTTCATGCTGAGATGAGCAACTGACACTACCAGCTCAACCCCAGGGCCCAGCCAAGGTGTCCCTTCCATTCTGCCTCTCTATCCACACAGTTGCTGTGGGGCACAGGCCTGTCCCAATGCCTGCTCCCTGGGCAGAAAGAATTCCAATGCTTCAAGCTGAGTGAAGACATGGTTTTAGAATGAGTATGATCTGGTTTCAAACCCTGTCTGAAGCAGCGTTATGACTTTGAGTTACTGACTTTCTCTCTCTGAGCCTGTTTCCTTGTCTGTGAGATGGGAATGCTGTTGTTGTTAGTTGACATGGAGCTGACTCTGACTCATGGTGACCCCCTGTGTCGTGGAGTGGAAATGCAGCCCACGGAGTTCTCAAGGCTGTGACCTCTCAGAAGCAGACTGCCAGGCCTTACTTCTGAGGTGCCTTGGGGTGGGTTGGACCTGCCAACCTTTCAGTCAGTCGACCCAAGGACTCTGTCAAATGGATAGTACTTCTTATTGCACTTCAGTGTTTCCTAAAAAGGACGGCTCTTGCAAGAGGCAATGGTTGGACCCTTCATGCAAGCAGCATGCACAGGCTGAGGGGTGCACTGGTTGCCCGAGATTGCAGAGGTTCACATAGAGGCAAACAGGTAACCAGTGGGGTGACATCCAGTGAGCAGTGGCTGCAGGGACATCTCTGCCCTTATCTGGGGAGGAAGGTCCTTTGACCACTGCATCCACACCAGACACTCTGAAAGCCAGCAGCAACGCCCCAGAGTGATGCCCAAAAGGGTGGCAAGTGTTGGCCCTACTGTTCAAGAATTCTTCGAGGGGCTGGGGGAACCCGCTCCACAGGTGTGGGAGCGAGAGGGTTCCCGAGGCCAGGCCAGCCGCCCAGAAGAACAAGGTTCCCTGAAGGTTCACCAAAGCGCTTGGCAGTTTGAAACAACAGGCCCTTCTCCATTAGCAATGGGCATGCTACCTTTTCTGAAAGGGGAAATGAGAAGACTTTAAAAACTGAAGAAGGAAAAAAGTGCTTTTTGAGTCTCTTTGGCTGATAAAAAGATTTTTTTTTTTTTTTTACAGGGAAGAGCCCTGGTGGCACAGTGGTAAAGTGCTCGGCTGTTAACTGAAAGGTCAGTGGTTCAAAACCACCAGTGGGAGAAAGATGTGGCAGTCTGCTTCTATAGATTTCAGGCTTAGAAACGCTATGGGGCAGTTCTACTCCGTCCTCCAGGGTCGGTATGAGTCAGAATCCATTCACCAGCAAGGGGTTTAGATTAGTTACTTAAAGGAGAGCCAGGCACTGGAGACATGTTCCCTGTCCTGTCTTCTGGTGCCTCAGGACAAGACTCCCAAGCTACACTTGCCACTCAACTGCAGGGTTCAGGCACACGGGCTCAGTGTGAGATCAACTGCAAGTGGACTGGGACAGTACTTCTTATTGTACTTCAGTGTTTCCTAAAAAGGACAGCTCTTGCAAGGGGCAATGGTTGGATCCTTCATGCAACCAGCATCTACTTCACCAAACAAATGAGTCCCAGAAGCCAGGCAGGCCGAGGGATGCAATGGTTGTCCAAGGTAGATGCTGGCTGGATGGGCGAGAGCAGGAGGCTGCAGGTCAGAGCCATGTGGGCAAACACGTGGGAGGTGACCAAGGCAAGGTCTCTCTCACCACTAGCTCCATGCAAAAGGGGGTTCAATTCTCCATGTCCGAATCCAGGCTCTTTTTCCCAAGTCACCCCAATGACATGTCTACAGCACTTAGATAGGGGACAGTGGTGGTTCAGTGGCCGAATTCCCATCTTCCATCCCAGAACTCCCTCCCCAGCTCGAGGGCCAACTACCCATGCAGTCTGTCTGGGGCTGGGTCAGTCTCCCTCCGCTGAACCTGAGTCCCTTTGCTGGGCCCTGTCCCTTATGTCTTGTGTCCTCTCCTGGTAGTTACTGGGGGCTCTTTTTCTACAGCATAAAACACTGAAGGTGGGGGCTGTCCTTCCTACTGTGCGTGCCCTAGCAGTGCCTGGCTCCCTGCTGTCCAAGTGACAGACAGAGTGGGTGGGTGAGCCCAGCCGGGGACCGAGCCCAGGCCTTTTTCACCCAGGCCCATCTGAACTGGACCCTGCGGGGGATTAGTCAGCATGGTTTGGGCTCCATCTCCAGGACTCCCGGGGTAGAGGGTGGGTGCTTACTAATGAGGCCCTGCAGGGTGACCCCGCCCAGCCCCTGGGACGTCAGGCTGAGACCCCATTCATCCACTCACTCTGGCAGCCCCTGTTGACCTGCTGGGGGCTCTGAGGAGGTGGGAAAGCACATGGAAACTACATGTGTACCCAGCTGCTAGGGTTCAGTGTGTGTCCCCCTTGGCCTATGGACACAACTCATTTCAAACCAGGGCAACTAGACAACAGTGCCAACAGGTAAAATGCCTGTGGGCAAGTGTGAGGTCTGACTTCCTCTCTGTTTTCACTATTACATGCAGAAGAAGAAAGCGGGTTCCAGTTCACCTAGTGGCTGCTCCGTGTCAACCACGGATTACCACTCTAACAACGTCCATTGTTAGCCGGGGCTGCACCTCCAGCCTCATCTCACTGTACCCTCTTATGTTCATAAGAGCAGGGCTGGGGCTTAGGGTGAGGCCATTAGGCACACAGCACTCAAAATTTAAGGAGGCACACATGCTCAGGGGCCCACCCTATACTGGCAAGAGCCTGAGAGTGAGTACCCCCTTAAATTCTGTACCCTGGGATGCCTGGAAGGGAGGCACCCGAATTTATCCCTCTTCGGGAGGAGAATCTGTCTTTTAAAGCGCCACAGAATTCCCCCAGAAACACAGCTGGTGTGCAGGAGCCCCGAGGATCCCCAAGCCCCTCTGCAACCAAATACCTGATTGTTCTCCCAGGGGCTGCTCTTGTTGGCCTCCCCTTGCTGGTGGTCCTCGAGGTGGGCTGGGGGAGCAGATTCGGAGGCAGTTTGGGTACCCACAGGTTCTCTATCAAGATATGGCACCTGATCATTAGCACCAGGAAGGGCCTTGCCCGTCACCAAAAAACTGCAGCTGCTCTGAGCGTCCTCCTCCTCCTCCCTCGAGTCCAGGTCCTGCAAATACCCGTCGGGGTCTTCGAGATCCGCGTCTTCAGTTTTCAAGTCCTCTGAGTCTTCCGTGTAAGCTTCCAGAACGGCAGCCAGGGGCACCTCATAGTGTGGGTAGTAGAAGAGGTCGTGGGGGATGACCGAGACCTTGGAGAGGGGCGGGGAGGGCCTGAAGTCCAGGCCTTCCTCACTGTGACTCAGGAGGGTCTCCAGGCTGATGCTGCTGCTCGGGGGGCTGCGTGGCAGGTCTCCGTCATCCTCCTGGGGCCGCCGCGCCTCCATCTCCTCCTCGCCACCACGGTGCGTGGATTTCCGCTTCGCCTTTTCATACACCTCTGGTTTCTTACCGACAGGTGCCTCCCTTGGAGCCAAAGAACAGCCTTGCGTGTCTTGTCCAGTGTCCTCGTGAGGTCTGGGTTGGTCGGACGTAACTGGGGGCTCCGAGGACTCTTCCTTCTCGTGGACGGTCGGCGCTCTGCCTCTGCGCCATCTCTCGGCGTGTTCTCCCGCGTCACTCTCAGTGGGCTCGTTTTCCTGCAGTGAAGGAGTCTCCCCAAAAGCACGGCTGGTGGAAGCGAAATCAACAAGGTCTCTGTTAAACTTAGAGGCTTTTAACGGTATGCCTTCAAAGTAGCCTTCTTTGTCCATAGTTTCTACAGTCAGCAGCTTAACCTTGATTTCCATGGAGTCGGCCATAATGGTGTTTGCTCCAGGGGATGGAACAGAATGACCTTCTCCCATGTGCTCAGTACTCTCCAGTGCCCCGTTCCAGGCCGAAGAACCCTGGGAAGACCGTGACTCACAGACCTTGCCATCTGCCAAAGAACTGTCACCCGGGGCCATGGCAGAGGCTGCTTCCGGGCTCTTTGGGGTTTCCTGTTTTGGTTTCTTTGCCCCTTCAACATCAATGGCCACAATGTGTCCGTCCAGCTTCAAGGACTCCTTGGCCCCTAGTGGGCTCCCTTCAAAGGCAAGCTCTTGACTATAGAAAGGGTCTTTACTGCAAGAAGCATCCTCGTCAATGTCAGCCTCAAAGTGAACAGTCTTCTTGGCTGGCAAACAGCTGGCCTTGCGAGAGTCCTTTCTCGACGATAAGATGGACGTCTCAGGTGGCTCACTGACATCACTGACCTTGCAGGGGACGCCCTGCAGCACCTGGTCGATGATCTGGTGCATCAGCTCATGGGAGTTGTCCAGCAGCACATCACTGGACGCACCAGCCAGGCAGGGCTGTGGCTGGGACCCCTTCACACTCTCGGGCTTGTCACACACAAAGACTTTGGAGGGCGCTGGGTGGCTGGTTTCATGGTTAACAGTGTAGGCACGGTCCCCATTCTCAGTCAGGAGGAGGATTTTGCTCTCCTGTTCAGAAGGCGTGTCTCTGATGCGGACAAAGGTTGATTCAATAGGGAAATCTTTCTCTGAGTCCACAAAGTCTTCCTGCAAAGAGACATGGGATGATGTGAAATGAGTGTTTAAGCGTGGCCTCTCTCTGTTCCTCCCTCAACAAACATGAAAAAGCCACTGCAAAATTAATGAAAAGGGTTCCAGATAAGATACAGATAATCACCAAGGACTATTCCTTCTGACATATGAAAATATCAGGTAACAAAATAAAACAAGTTTTTGAAGCCACGAACCAAACTCTAGAGCAAGATGAGTCCTGTTGAGGTGGGCAGGGGTTGGCGGCTACTGCGTACCCACCCGCGGGCCATTGCCTAGTCTGGGTATAAGGAGGAAGAAGCGGCAAGTGGAGAAGGTTGCTCTGGTTCCTACAACACAACTGCCTCACTGCAGAATCTCCTTATAGCTGTTCACATCCCCAAGGGTAGACAGACCCGAAGTCCCAGCTCATCCAGCCTCCCACTGCTTTGAGCCCCTTTCCACAGACATTTCTGAACCCTGGTGTGATGCTGTGCTAGCTAGGTTGGAAGCCCTTCTTCCTCCCACTATGGACTTCCCAGGCTTTGAAAATTCTAGAAGGGATTTAAAAAGCTCAAACAAATATCCACAGTAATAATAATAACAAAAAGAGCTCTAATGGTGACATGGAGGGTTTCAACCATCTGAGAAGAAGACGACCACCCCTCTCTCAAGCACCACTCTTCCTCCAAGGCAACACTCGCTGAGATCCGTGGCTAAACTCTTAGGTTTGGGCTAGGAATCACCCATGATACCTGCGGCTCCACAAATGGAATTTCTTGTGTATTCTGCGGATGGCTTTCCCTTTGGGATTTACTGAACTGAGCTGGACGGTTCATTCTGGCAAATGGACCAGTGGTCATGATGGTGGCATGGGACCAGGCAGAAGGTTGGGCAATCTACTTCTGTAGCGATACCACCTCGGAAACCCAAGGAGGGGTCACTATGAGTCAGGTCCGACTCAACGGCACATAACAATAACAACAACTTACATAAGGTCATCACAAGACAGAGCTGACTCGACAGCAACCCACCACCACCACCAAACGCAACTGAAGGGAGTTTGCAGCTATGGGGATTCATGTTGCTTCAGTGTCAATGGACTTGAATTAGTTAATACACTGTCCTCATAGTCTTAGCCTCAGCCGTGAGCTGTAAGGGACCAGAGAGCCTGAACGTTGGAGCCACAGAGACCTGGCGGTAAAGCCCACCTGTGTACCTGGTGGCTGTGTGACCCTGGAGGAGTCAGTTAGCCTCAGTGTCATCAGTTAAATGCCACTGTGCTATGCAGAATGGCAGGAGTGGCAGCCAGCCCACAGTCACATGGGTCACAGTACCTGACCATATTCAGCTAAAAAGCACACACCACCCCCAGGAGCTCTTGAACTCCTAGGCCTATTTTTTCTGTCTAGTACTTAACACTACCTGACATTACAGGGTGCTGACTTGTTGACTATTTTCTCTGTTAGCAAAGGTGGAGATGTCACTCATCTAGTTTATTACCGAGTCCCCTGAAGCAGCAGTAGGTGGTCAGCAAATTACTGATGAATTCAACGAAAGGCTGCTGTTGCTGTAACTTTTATTATCATCTCAGGGTTGTGCAGGAGCAGATGGCAGTGAAGCCATACCAACTTCTAAAAGGTCTGATTCTGTTCCCCAAAAAATCTGTCACCAAGTATTATCTTATAGAACTCGGGGGGTGTAGTGCTTAAGGCACTTGGCTGTAAACCAAAAGGTTGGTGGTTTGAACCCACCAGGCACTCTGTGGAAGAGAGATGAGGCAATCTGCTTCCATAAAGATTTACAGCCTTGGAAACCCAATGGGGGTTGCTGTGAGTTGGAAGTGACTCAGTGGCAGTGAGTTTGAGAGTTTGAGAAGTATTATCTGGGATTCTGAATCTAAGCAGGCATGATTTTGAATGGTGATTACTTTCCATAATTTTCAACACTCTGATACAATCTGGTAGATGGCTAAAACGTTCCATCTGACATCTGAAAAACCAAGTCACCAACCCAGGTGACAGGTGGGCACCAGTGTGCCTTTGAAGTACATTTGGGATGGGAAAAGGTTTGAAGAGGTATAAACGTCTAACTCCCTGTCCTAACTAAATAATATCATACAGAATTTTGAAAGCGTAACTACAACGTGGCAAGGCAATTTTCAAGGGACCTGAGGTCAACTTCTGACTCTCGTCAATGATCACACAGAACAACGCAGTCCAAGGGCCAGCCTCATCCAGAGGCCAGCTCATGCAAACAGCTTCTGAATGAGAGGAAAGGAAGACAAACATACGGCTTCCAGCTCCGGGAAACGTTCTAGGAACTGCGCCACGTAGGTCATGATGGACTGCTCGTCCGGCATGTCAACCATGATGTCTGTCAAGAGATACAGGAGTTAGCAGGACTCATGGTTTATAAACAGGACCACAGCACCCTCGATGCAAAGGGCCCCACAGAACACTGAGGGTTTCTTTTGTCATTTTACACCTGAGGAAAAGTTAGGCCCAGAAGGGGTCAGTCATTTGACTGAAGTCTCACAGTTGGCTGGTGAGCAGAGAAGCCAGGATGCAGGATCCCAGCTCACAAACCAAACCCGTTGTCATCAAGTCAGTTCTGACTCATGGCAACCCCGTGAGGTACAGGGTGGAACTGACTCCACAGAGTTTGCTTGGCTGTGATCCATATGGAAGCAGGGCTCCAGGTCTTTCTTCCACAGTGCCGCTGGGTGAGTCTGAACCGCCAATCTCTTGGTTAGTTGTTGAATGCAAGCTGTTTGTGGCACCCAAGGACCATACAGAATCCAGGGTTCTTATTCCCAAGACTCTGTGTTTGTTATTCCTTGCTGAGAGAAGCCAGCCCAGTGCTGGCTCTATCAGCAAGTATGGTGGGCAGGGCACTTTTACCCGCTGCCAGCCTAACCCACAGAGAAGGCGGCATGACGGAGGTAACCAAGCACAAGAAGGTATACAGTCCCCGGTTACCACTGCTGACCACTTGGAAAGGGATCATAGCAGGAGTCTTGGATAGAGTGCGGGAAAATGTGCAACAACACTCAAAATCATAAAAAGAAGACCCAGCTTAGTGGTCTGACAAAGACTGGTAGAACCCCCAAGACTATGGCCCTAAGACATCCTTCAAGCTAGGGACTGAACTTAACCCCCGTGACTCATTTCAGGCAAACAACAGGCTTATAAGGTGAACAGTTGTACCAGGAGGGTATGGGCTCGTTAGAACAATCAAGCAGACAAGATCAAGAGGACAGCATCTGCCCACGGACAGAGCTAGGAAGGAGGGAGGGGATGAGAAGGAAGGATGAAGGGAAGTGTGGGCATGGGGAGGAAGTGGAAAGAACGCTGTTGCACTGTGAGGATTGCAGTGAATGTCACAAAACAGAATGTGTATACATTGTTGAATGGAAAGCCAACCTGCTCTCTAAACTTTCACCCAAATCATAATTTACAAAAAGAAGAAGAAGGTAATAGTCCCATTCAGCTTCCCCCACCTGTTCCACTTGTGTGTCTGTGTATCTGTCGGTAGATTACTGTTACTGCAGGATTGTGTATGTAATAGTTGCCTTTGTTGCCTTTAACTGTTACATAGGTTTAATAGAGGCTATTCCTACATATGTGTATAGTGTATGTATACATCCTGTATCCCTACAGGTAGGAATATGCATATATGCCATATATAGATAGTGCTGTGTAAGTATAGACACCATACTGTAGAATATATCATATATAAGAACATTTCTATATGGTAGCAAGGTACCTAAGGTACTTGACTGCTAACTAGAAGGTTGGCGGTTCAAACCCACCAGCCACTCCACGAGAGGAAGATGGGGGCAATATACTTCAGTAAAGATTTACCACCTCAGAAACCCAAACAGGGTCACTATGAGTCAGAACCAACTTGACGGCAGTGAGTCTGGGTTTTTGGTTTTATTCGTACATATGAATTTATATGTGCTGCCAATTTATCCATGAATACGGTAGATCAGAGAGGGAGAAAGGAGCTCTGGTGGTGCAGTGGTTAAGGCACTGAGCTGCTAATCAAAAGGGAGGTGGTTTGAACCTACCAGCTGTTCCACTGGAGGAAGATGAGACAATCTGCTTCTGTAAAGCTTTTCAGCCTTGGAGACCCAATGGGGGCCTCTATGAGTTGGGATCAACTTGATAGCAGTGGGTTGGGATGGGACAGGGCTAAGAGTTGAGAAAATTTCTTAGCCATAACCGAACACCTTGAGGGAATGAGTCACTGGGTCTGGGGGCTCAGGATCATAGTCTTGGGGGATACTAAGGTCAAATTGGCGTAACACTGTCCTTTGAAAGACAATGTTCTACATCCTATGTGTTGAGTAGTGACTGGAGTCTTAAAAGCTTGTGAGCAGCCATCTAAGGTGTAAGTATTGGCCTCTCGCCCTCTGAAGCAAAGAACGGTGAAGAAAATCAAAGACACAAGGAAACAATTAAACCAAGGGACTAAAAGACCACATGAAACCCAGCCTTCGTGACCCTGAGACCAGAAGAACTAGATGGTGCCCGGCTACCACTGCTAACTGCTCTAAACGGGACCACAATAGGAGGTCCCAGATAGAATGAGATAAAAACGTGGGGCAAAACTAAAAATCATAAAAAAGACTAGGCTTACTGGTCTGATAGAGACTGATGGAGCCCCCCACTCCAATTTGCTCAGTAAACTTGCACTCAAATAATATATATATATATTTTTTAAAAGAAGGCGGTGGCATGTAATCTCTGAATTTGTTACTTCCTCAAAAGGAGCTTTATTCAAGGTGATGTTCCCCTGCACTGTGGTTTATAAAAGTAAGTATTTCTGAAACAACCTCAAAGTTTCCCAGCAGTGAAAACTTGAGTAAAGTATGGGATGTCTACTGGATGGATTACTCCAAAGCCAGTAAAAATATATATGAAGATATTATGGCAACATGTAGAATGCCTGCAGTGTAATAAATTACTTAGTATGGCTTTTCTACCCATAAGTCATTGTAAACTCAGTGGTGGAATGAGCAACTGAGGAGCTCCTGATTGTAAATGTTATCCACCTGGGGTATTTCTGTTGGCCGTGACACAATGCAATGTTATGGGAGGCTCTCTCTCAGGTGCTTAGAGTTCTGGTGCTGTGATTGGCTAGTTTGGCCACTCTGCCAAGCTCAAAAGGAGGGCTCCTAGAGGCAGAACTCTCTCTGACTGCTGGTTGAGGAAGACGTGCTGCTGAAAGAGACACACACTCCTGAGACACACGTTGCTGGGAAAGAGATGCAAGAGACATGCATTGCTGAGTGAGACACCGAGGGACCAGCACTGCTGGGAAACAGACTGTGAGAGACTGTTGGCTGAGGGACGGTGGGCTGGGAGAGACTGAGCGTTTTTCCTGAACTTGAATTGTAGCCTGTGGTGCTTCCCTAATAAACCCCATAATCTGTGAGTTCTGTGTGGCCACTGCAGTGAATTATCAAACCCAGGAGAGAGGTGGTGGGTGCTTTGGGAGGAATGGTTGGAGCAAGGGCTGGAGGCAGGCAGCATGTCTAGCCTACAGGAATAGGCCTTGGGTTACTGCTGGTAATCCTGTCTTCCTCTTGTGGGATTAGAGGAGGTCAGAATATGTGGCCTCCTTGTCCTTTTTGCAATGCCTATGTCATAATTAGAGAGCTCTGGTGGTGTAGTGCCTAAGGCATATGGCTGCTAACCAGAAGACTGGCGGTTCAAACCCACCAGCCACTCCTTGGAAGGAAGATGATGTCATAATTATAATGTTAAGGAAAAATGTAAAATACAATACTACACACATACATGGAATAATCCCAATTATTTTAAAATATTATAATTATATGCATAGGAAAATACTGGAAATACTATAATTATATGCATAGGAAAATATTGGAAACATCCAAATTATCTGAGTGGAAGGAATATAGATTAAAACACTTTTCTATTAGCTTTTTGTGTATTTTCTAAATTTCTACTTGGGCATGTGTTCTATTTGTAATAAAAATAATTAAGGAGAGAGAACCACTGCTACCTTCTGGCTCCAGAAGCCTGGGAATGTGAAGGGCGTCGTGTGCGATGCTAAAAGCCTTCTCGAGATTTTCTCGGGTGGAATCTTCCAGAGCCTGCTTCATGTCCACCAGGCTGGGGTCAATGGCCTTTATCACGGCCAGGAAAGCCAGCCCACTTCTCCAGCTGCCCGCAAAGTCCTGAACTGCCACTCCATACCTAGATACAAACAGCAGAGACAGCAACAAAACAGGTTAGTAGACAAATTGGTGGCACAACAGTTCAGTGCTCATCGGGTGACCCAAAGATTGGCGGTTCGAACCCAGCCGATGGCTCTGTGGGAGAAAGACCTGGTGAGCTTCTCCTGTAGTTTACAGACTGGAAAACCCTGTGGGGCTGTTCTCCTCTTTCCTATGGGGCTGCCATGAGTTATAATCAACTCAACGGCACTCAACAACAAGAAACAAACTCCAAGGTCCAGAGGCTAGCACGTAGCCACCTCACTGGCCCCCGTGTGGGGCTGAAGGAGCTGCTCACCTCCCAGGCTAATCTGCCCTGACCCCCAGCACCGGGAGGACTTAACAGACCCACTGACGTTTCCATTTCTGGAGAAACGGAATAGGATGGTCAATGTCGCCCAAGGAGGCCAAATAGGGCCTCCTTTCCAAATCCCCAAGTAAATAAAGAAGCAATTTCGTTAACTGTTCATTCATCAGTGATATCCAAACACTTGTCAGGAGGATGTGATGGGGCCATAAAAATGGAGCCAGAAAGTCCTGAGCTTACACCCCAGTCCCCACCATGTTTCCAACAGGTGGCCTTGGGTAAGTCATAGACTCTCTTCGTCCCAGAGTCCTTGGCTGTAAAAGGGACCATTGTACTGAGGCCTCCCTGGGGCTGCTGTGGGGCGTATTAGGGTGAACCCACAAGACCAGCACTGATGGCCTCTGCTTTGCATGTATATTTTCAACACATACACATACACACACATACACACACAGCCAATGTCAAGTGGGCAACCCAATGTGCGATGTGAGCGCACAAGGAAGCCACTCAGTATATGGTGGCTAATAACATTATGAATGGAAAGAAGGTTGTAATTTCAAAAGTGAAGGACAAAGATCAAGAATCCTTCCAGGCACTAATCCCCTGTACAATTTATCCCCAGAGGCCACATCCGATCTCTCAGCTGGGGTCAGTGAACTCTCCTTTAAAAAGAAGCCCTTTTGGACCAGGTTTGCTGGTCCGATAGAGCCTGGTGGAACCACTGAGACTACAGCTCCTAGCTGCCCTTCAGGTCTGGAACTGAACCCACACTTGTGGCTTCCAGCCAAACAAAAGCTTCCAGTCAAACAAAAGACAGGCATAGGAGTTGAGTATTTACCCGAGGTAGATTTACTTCTTGGAGAGAACAATGATAGGAGAAAGAAGGGCTGTGTATGCACAGGGAGACAGCTCAGGGGGCAGGAGTGCTTGGAGGGATGGACACAGGGAAGAGGTGATTGTCAGGAAGAAGCGGGAGGGGAGCTGTTGCATTGGGGTAAATTGTGGTCAGTGTCATGGGACAAAGTGTACGTGAACTGCTGTATGGAAAGTGAATTTGCTCTGTAAATTTTCACCCAAATCTCACACACACACACACACACACACACACACAGAGGCCCTTTTGACCAGGTTTGCTGGTCTGATAGAGACTGGTGAGACCCCTGAGACTATGGTCCCTAGTTACCCTTCAGGTCAGGAATTGAACTCACTCTGTCCAAACAACAGATAGGCATATGGGCATATGGTGTGAACATTTACATCAGGCAGATACACTTTTTGAGTGATCTATCGTGGGAGAACAGAAGGGCAGTTTGCACAGGGAGATGGCTCGAGGGACAGGCATGCATGGGAGGGAAGGACACAGAGAAGTCATATCCTTCATGTTGTCACTGTGATGAAACAACATGTGTATGAGCTGCTGTATGGAAAAGGAGTTTGCTCTGTAAATTTTCACCCAAATCACAAGAAAAATAAATAAATAAAAAGAGGTCTCTTTATTTCAAAATCATGGAAGACCCACAAGCAGTTGCAAACACAGGCTCATTTTATCATGCTTCGCAAACATTGCATTTTCTACAAATTGAAGGTCTGTAGAAACCCTGTGTGGAGCAAGTCTATCTGCACCAGGTTTCCAACAGCACATGCTCCCTTTGTGTCTCTGTGTCCCATTTTGGTAACTCTCACAGTATCTCAAACTTTTTCATGATGTGATTGTACACTTAATAGGCTATAGTGCAGTGTCAACATGACTTGTATATGCTCTGGGAAAACCAACAATTCATGTGACTTGCTTCATTGCAGTATTTGCTTTCTTTGCAGTTGTCTGCAACCAAACCCTCAGTATCTCTGAGCTGTGCCTGTATAGTACAGGGAACCCTGTGTACCCTTCACCCTGCTTCTCTCAATGCTGGCCCATTACAACCCAGAGTACAACTATCAAACCAGGAAACTGACATTTTACGGGCCCTCATTTTCCTGAGGGTTGGTATATGACAGACACTGTGAAATTTTATTACAAGTGTGGATTCATCCAAGCCCCACTGCAATCCAGACACTAAAATTTCCATCACCCCAAAGGGCAGAACTTCCTTTCCTTTATTGTCACACTCTCCCCCAAGCCTAACACCTGGCAATGAACTCCCCTTTGACTGATTGATTTTTGTTAGTGTGGCAAAATACATTATCAAAAATGTGTGGTGCCAACCAGTCTTTCCAGTGACGTTAATCACGTTTGGTTGATTTATTTTGAAACAACATTTAACTGTTCTTCACATTAATCAACTCTACTTTAGCACACTTGGCTCCTCAATCGAAAAGCCAAAGACCCAACCTCTTTTCCTTCTTCTGTCTCCATATACTGGGGAGAGGGAACGGATCTTCGTTCACGATTATTATGTGCTATGTTCCTAAATGCTGTGGCAAGGGGCCACCCCAGACTGTACTGCATTTAATCCAAAGCATCCTCTAGGACACTGAATGACAGATGATCAGTTTGCAGGTAAGGCCTGGAGAGAGATTGTAGCTGATCCGTGTGTGGCAGAGCTGGACAGACCCGAGTGGGTATGGCTCCCCTCCCACGTGGCAGGGCTGTCCACCATCCTGGCCTAGCCCAGGAGCTGCCAGCTGCCCTCCCGCGTGGCTGGGCTGTCCACCCATCCCGGCCCAGCCCAGAAGCTGCCAGGTGTCAGCTGGTGAAACCACTGACCCCAGCTGTAGGGGTCATTCTGACTCCTGGTGACCCCACGTGTGTCAGCTTAGAACCAGGCTCCACAGGCCTTTCCCTCACAGTGCCTCTGGGGGCACTCGAACCTCCAACCTTGTTGGTTAGCAGCCAAGTCAATGAACTGTTTGCCCCACCTAGGGGTGCCCTGCTGGAGAAAGGTCCACTGTAATCCTGCTGACATCTCTGGGCCAGGCACAGAGTCAAAAGGCAGCCAGGCAGTTGGCTCTAGCCCACCTGTCTTGGTTTCAGAAAGGCCAGGCCTAACTTCAAGGATGCTACAGCCTTTGAT